CCTTTTTTTCTTTTTCCTTTTAAGTAGGCTCCACGCCCAACGTGGGGCTTGAACTCATGACCCCAAGATCAAGAGCTGAACGCTCTACCGACTGAGCCAAAAAGGCACCCCAGTAATCCTATCTTTTAAAAGAATTTTGACTTTGTTGAAAACAGATGTTATCTGTGTAAAAACACTTTGAAATTGGAAAACTATAAATAATAATGCAAAATTTGGGGCACATGGGTGGCTCAGTTGGTTAGGCGTCTGACTTCAGCTCAGGTCATGATCCCACAGTACTGGGATAGGATCGGGCCCTGGGTCAGGCTCCCTGCTCAGCAGGGAGGCTGCTTGCCCCTCTGCCCCTCCCCCTACTTGTGCTCTCTCTCTCTCTCTCAAATAAATAAATAAATAAAAATAATAATGCAAAAATAAATGAGATAATGATCTCTGGCACCGCCTGATAGACAGCATCTCTATAGACACTTACCACATCATCAGGGGCTATCTACTGCAATAACAAATTACTTTTATGGAAAATACATGGCCAGTAGGATCCAGACACCATACTGTAGTTCACTAGTGCTGGAATGGACGCTAGTGATCATTATGCCCTAATTCACAGGTGGAAAAAAACTGGGGAGGCTTTACTAAAATGCTACCTTCCTTTTGCATAAAGTTTTTACTCTAGTTTCTAAAAATCTTTTCACATATTTCATGTCTTCAAAACAACCCAGTGATTTAGGCAGAGCAGACTTTATTATCTCCTTTCTTATATATATAGGGATGTTAAAAAAGGTTATGTAACTTGACCATTTTTATTAGTAGTTAGTAATAAGCTAAGGCTGTAACAGGGTTTTACTTAATTCTGAGCTTGATGATTTCTCTATTAGCTCTGACGTTAGAAAGGTCTGAGTTTGGCAGAGCCAGAAGGCCCAGGACTGGAGACAGGCCCCAGAGACTGTGGTCCTATAGCCATTTGCTGAATGGTGGCTGGACACTGGGCCTTACTCTACCTCTTAGCAAAAGAACTTGACAAGTCTTCGTAGCCTCATGTCTAACACTGAAGGATGTTTCTGCTTTGTTAGGTGGGACAGCCTGACCTTGGGGACTGAGTAGAGTCAGAGGGTAGGGCTCACCTTGATCCCATCCTTCGCTCCTTCCTGTAGGTAGGGAATGATGGAATTATTCCACAGGTCAATGAACCAGGTCCGGAAGTCCTCAATGCCAATGGGACAGGACAGAAAGAAGCAAGGGCCTATGGAAAAGGATGAGGCCAGTAAGATGGCTGAGCACCCAGCTCTCCCCAGTCATCTGTCTCTTCTACTCCTTAATACCAGGCAGAGGGGTCTGATAACCAAAGAAGTAAATGACATTTAGAGTCGGGCTGTCCTGAGATTGTTGTCAAGACCAATGGGAGTGGCTGCCTGGCTGGCAGCCTCATCAGCAATACTTCTTCACAAGGTGGAAGTGAGGTGAGGGAATGAGGGCAAGTTTCCCAATTCCCTTCTAAACACTTTCTTTTCCCCATTAGTTGTGGGAGAAGTGAGGGAGTGGGGCTAGCTTTCTGATGACTGAAGTGATTCACCCAAATCATGGCTCTAACTGCAGAGGGGAATGCTTGGTGAGTAATTAAGCGGTCCTGGGTCTGAAGCCACGAGGCTTGCTACCCCTTTACATGCTGAAGACTCCAGAAAGAAACGGGAACATCGCTCTGAGTGGCAAAGTAGGAAAGGCGAGCCACCTTCTGACCCCAAGGGGGAAGCTGAACCCCAGTACCGATGAGGAAGTCTGAGGTGCTGTGCTTCTCAAGGAAGGTGTGGAGATGGTACCACAGCTTGGGCACCCAGTCGAGCACCCGAAGCAGCTCTTCCTTGTTGGCATTGATGTCACTGTCCGACTCTACCAGCTTCCTCCTCAGGTAACGAACCAGGAAGCCATTGGCTGGCTCCACGTTGTTGGAGAAGGTCAGCATCCTGCAGCCAGGAATGGGGAGAGGGGTCAGGGTGGCCATGTGGACATGGTCGGCATCCATCCCCTGCCAGTCCGTCCCTCCTCCCACCTGCCTCCCACTAACGCCCACTGGGTTTCTTCTCAAGTAATGGCCGAGTTGACTGAACAGGCAGAGCTGATTCTCAAACCAGTGACCCTCTTCAGAGAACCATCTGACCTCAGTGACCCGGATGAGGGGGGTGTGTGGGCAGAGAACCCAAATTACAGCATCTTAGCTGCAGCTCTCTTAGTTTTATAGTTCTTTCCTCATCTCGAGGGTTCTCTTCCACCCTGTAACTGACATGGCAAATATCCCTACTCTTTCTTCCCAGCCCAGAGGCCCCGCCTAGTTCTCCTTCCTGCTATCTATTACCCCTCTGGCCAGATCCTGGGATTTAACTAGTTTACAGAACCTTAGGTAGGGTGGGAAGGTTGATCCAGGGCCACAGTTCTTACCTGAAGCTCAAGTGCAAGCCATGATTAGGTGTCATTTTTACAGGCTGATTGGTGGTACCTATGATATAAGGACTGTGGGAAGAAGGAGGAAAAAGGTTCACTTAGACTTAACACTTGCTTTCTGCTATGTACACCCAATGGAAAGCTCACAGGTTGGACTGGACCAAGGCTCTCCTTCTTCCCACTGTAGGAGTTTGGTCCGGACTCCAGCTTACCATTTGTGGTACTTGCAGGTGAGAGCCCCATTGACCAGCTCACTGATGGAGCCTGCTTCACTCAGGTCATCCAGCAGGATCACCAGTGGGACATCCCCAATTCCTGTTTCCCGGTCTATCTGGTTGGCCAGGTTGGAGAGATAGAGTTGCAGATCCTGAAATAAAAGAAGGAAGTGGCTCAGCACTCAGGAGTAGTGAGCACTTGGATCAGCCTTGGGAGGAGGGGTTTTGGAGAAGGTATGCTAGTTCTGGATTCCCCTGGAACCTTTGGTTCCTGTTTGATGCATCTGAACATTTGACTCCAGAACTACTGTGGACTGATAAACAGTGGTCCCAAAGGCTCTAAGGCAACCATCTTAAGTAGCGGCTCCTAAATCCCTGAAGGGTGGGGATCATATCCTATTTCCTAACGGGCTTTTCACTAGGTTGGTACCATGAACCACTCCAATAGATAAGCCTCCCCCTGTTGGGGCAACCCCAGAGTGTCAGGGCGTGCTTGAGAGACATCCAGATTTGGCAGGGGACAGCAGAATGTGTCACATGTAATTCTGAGTTCTTCTCCCCAGAAAGCCCAAGGTCAGAGTAATACTGAAAAGAAAGGTAGAGGGAAGGAAATAAACAAAGGGACAGGATTTTCAGGGTCGGCAGAAAGTGAGGTGGAAATGAGGATGTCGTTCAGTCAATGATCAGCAAGAGGGAAAGGCGTATACCAGAGGCAAGGGGAAGTGTGGAGAAAGAAGGGAAGGGAAAAGTCTGGAAAGAAACTGGGGGCAGAGGAGGGACTAGCAAAGGGGAATGCTAAGGGGAAGGGAGGAAAGGGAACAGAAGGGGCAGGAGGGGGCCCGGGGAAGGCCTTGGGGGCTGAGGCCCGAGCAAAGGCTGGTGGGGGTGCCAGGAGGCAGCCACCTTGCAAGACTGCTGGTGCATGTTGAAGGTGCTGACGATGCCCTCGGTGACCTCGCGGCCGGAGCGCTCCACCAAGTACTCAGCCAGCCGGTTGGTCAGGTAGGTCTTGCCCGTGCCGCTGGGGCCCGAGAGGACGAGGCGCCGGTGCTTGAGCAGGAGGCTTATGTAGTGCTGCATCATCGGCTTGGGGACCAGTGTCTCGAACACCAGGCTGTCGACGCACTTCTCCTTCAGACCTGAACCCCCAGCCCCAGAGAGCATGAGCCATGACCAGGGCCCCGAGGACGGCAAGGACCCCTGAAGGGCATACCTTTCTTCACCCAGAAGCCCACTGAAATAACGCAGGGCCACCTGTCCCGGGTTCCACAGGAATCCCCTGAGCCCTAGTTTTGAAAACACAGATCTTATTTTTAGGGACATGCTTGGAGTTACAGGTGTGTGGGTGGAGTGAGAAACCCAGGCTTTCTAGAAATTTCCCTGGGAATGAAAATGGCCCTCGGAACAAAAGTTAGGACTGGATCTTATTCATCTTTCTACCTTCTGTGCCCTTTCCTCCCTTCCCCTTAGTTACTTAAGTACAGTGAGCTGCACGTTATAGCTTCTCAGTAAATCCTTGTTGAATGTATGAGTGACAGATTGATGTTCCTCTCCCTCCCTCACCCCATATTGCTGCACTCCAAAAGACAAAGACTGACCTTTGAGGGAGACTGATATGTTGTTGACACCTCGGCGGCAGGGAGGCATCTCTGGGGGCTCCGCATCCAACAGCCGCTTCACGTGGCTGATGCTATAGCCATGGATGGACTCGGTGCTCAGTCCCAGGGTGGAGGCTGGGTCCATCTTAGAAATGTAGTCCTAACAGAGGAGAAAAGGAGGGAAACAAAAAGATAGAGAGGAACACCAAGATGATGCAAACCCAGACGTACAAGCCACAAATTTCAGAGGGAACGGAAGTCAATGGAGAAAGGGAAGAACCTATGTTTTTCCTAGTTAGCATTTCTCCATGAAGCATCAAAGGTCCCCAAGATCCCAACGCCTGGATGGCTCCATATCCCATGAGAGGATAAACAACCTCTGAGAGTACATGTGTCCCTTTACCTTGAACACTTGGAAAACAGCTTCATCCAGCATCTTCCAGTCCACTTTTCCACTGACCTTGCTACATCCTAGGAAGAATTCCTGCTGTTTCAAGTCCTACACGGCCAAGGAGAAAGAAGTGTGTGAGCCTCAGTGCGGTCCCTCCAAGAAAGGGGGGTGGTCCTAAAAGGCCTTAGCCGTGGGGTACTCTGGTTTGGGGGTTATTCAGAGCCCAGATGTTTTTGGATAAAGATAAGAGTGTCGCCAGGCCTCCCTGAAGTTCCTTACCCCTTTGATGATGTGCTGGGGGGGCATCCGCACCACCACCCGAAGGGTCACTTCCTCCTTTGGACCACAGGTGCTGATGGCATCCATGGGTGACAGGTCTGTCAGCAGTGAAAACAACTATTAGCTTTAGGGGCACCCACAGGCTTTCCTAAACCTCCTAGTCATCATCCCTTCCAAATGACTACTGACTACCAAGAGGAAACCAAAACTCCCAAACGGAAGAGCAATTAGGGTTGAACGACCAGAGTAGGTCTTCGTGTCTCATGACACTGGGGTGCGCTTGGTTTAGGCGCTGTTAAGCTCCATGACCCGAGAGCGGTGCCCCCAGAGCAAGCGGAATGGTGTAGCAGTGACGCAAACCCTCTTTTTCCTGCCACCCTTACAGGTTCTTCTCCCAAACAGGTACCTGTGTCAGTGAGACTTGGGCTGGAGGAATGGGTGAGGGCAAGGCCCAGGGAGCGGCGAGGGGAGGCTAACGCAGAAGATCCGGGGACCTGCCCTGGAGTGGAGCCCGATGAGGGGCCTGGGGCGACCTTCAGCCGGTCGTTCTCGGCTTTCAGCAGGTCCACCTCCAACTGCGGCGAGAACAGATGGGGCGGGGCCGCAGAGTTGGATGGATCTCAAGGCCCGGTCTTCCCTCTGCTCAGCTCTCTGCCCAGATACCCACCTGCATGTTGTGCATCGTCTCCCGAAGTTGGTCCAGTTGGTGGGCAGAGTTGAGGGCTTCCAAGCGGATGTCTGTGAGCTTCATCTCTTTCTCCCACAGCTCGGAGCGCAGTTCCGATACCTCTTTCTTCTCCGGTTCCTCCTCCTCATTGCCATGGAACAGCCTGGTGTGGGGGGCCGGGTGAGCAGGGCCCCTGGAAGAAAGTGAGAGTGAAGCCAGGCCATGTGGGGCAGCTGTAGAGTTGCTAGGGGACACGGAGGTACTCAGCCGTGGTGGGGGGAAGGTCTCATACGCCCCAGGAGAGCCCTGTAGTGCGGTGGCCAGGGGCGAACAACACGGGCTTAACTGCCGCCGCCGGCCATACACCGTTGGTCGGCAGGCCGACAGCACTTACTCGGCGCCATCTGTGCCCACAGAGGAGGGGCTGGAGGACTTGACGGAGGGCGAAGCGGCCTCTGCGGAGCCGCGCTGTAGTTTGGGGGATGAAGGGGCGGAGGAGTCCGGTGTGGCGATCTCCTCAATGTCAGAGTATGAAGAAGCGGACTTGGGTCCCTTTTTTATGCTGAAGGCTTTGTTGAAGGAACTTCGAAGCTAGAAAAAAGCAGATCCAGGTAGAGAGACGTCAGGGCTCCACTCTGGAGACTGGGGGCGGACTGGTTTGGGACTTCTGAGACGGAGAGGTATACAGGCAGGGTATTTGCTTGCTGTCAGTAAGCCTCCCTCTTAAGGCTTCACTTGCTTCATGAAATATGGACAGAAGAGTTGCCTAGAAATTAGGGCTGAGAGAAAGTCAACTGTTCTGGCATGCCGTGGCTGTAGGCTACAGGAACTTCTTGGGTCTGCTCTCTCCCATGAGGAAACTATGCCCCTGAGCGGGACAGAGAGAAGTCCCCAGAGGTCACATGGTGGCCAACCTCTCAATGATCAAACTCCACCTTCTCCAGCAGACCAATTCCTGCTCAGTCTAGAGCCTTGCTCACTTTGGGTCTCAGTGTCCACCCTGACCGTGGCTCATCAGATCAGAATCCATTTATCTATTTACCTATTAACCAGAAACTGGCCATATGATTCTGTGGAAATCAACGGAAGGGAGTGGTATCAAGTTTCTTTTAGTGTCTCTTGTGCTTAGCACATCCCAGAATGGCGAAAACAATCAGATACAAATGCTTTCTCCTATTCCCACTCAAATGTCCTAGAATGAGGAATATTTCCCAGCATTTCCTCAGAATACTTGGGAGACTATAATGTGACCATAGCTTGTTTGACCTTAGGTGTTGATGAGCTTGGGTGTTAGGGCTGTGAGCTAGAGAGGCAAACCAGGGTCCTGGCCCACCCATTCGCATGCATCCATATAGCATGCACACACACACAGGGACACAGATATGGAATGGCAGCAAGAGACAGAGAGTAAAGGAGGGGTCAAAGGCTGTAGGGGACAAAAGTAAACCAGATCTTTGGGACAGTGAGAGAAAAGAAAGGAAAACTTGAGGGTACTCTTTCAAAGTGTCTCTTGTGGAACACAGGAAGGCTGTTAGGTAAATGAGGAGAGCTGATGGTGGTGTGTGTTGGGGTGTCTACCAAGTAGGACATAAAGGAGGACCAATCTGGCTGTGATGGGGATAGGAGAGAGAGAGAATGTGTGCAGTTAGCTAGAGTGTGCGTGCAGGGGATAGATTATCATGGAGTAGTCAAGCCTCAAGCATCCCATAAAGCTCAGTTCTCTGCAGAGATGAGGAACCAAGGGTAAAAAGTTGACTTGCTTGAGATTGCAGAATTGAAGGAAGGCCTGGGACTGGAACTCAGTCTTCCTTATTTTCAACCCAATGGTCTTCTCTACACTATTGCTTCATGGGAAGCTGTGTGTATATGAGAGAGACAGAGAAAGAGAGAGAGAGAGAGTGTGTGTGTGTGTGTGCGTGCACGTTAAGTGTGTGTGCGCATACAAAGAGATCCCATGACCACAATCTGCCCAAAGCACACGTCCTGTAAGATCACGAAGACCCTGAGTGAGAGACGGTAGTGTTCTCTGTCATTCAGGGTTCCCAAAGCACAACTGTTGGCAGATGTTCATTAGTGTTATGTGGTGAAGGATTCCCTGAATTCAGGAAACAGTGGGTCAAGCAAAAGGAAACAGACTCTTTACTGAGGGACATCTCAGAATGTTCCTATGTGGGTGTGCACTGCAGAAATGCAGGGCTTATGGCATCCCTGTTTCAAGGAGCATCGCCATGGACTTGTGCACAACACACGCTGGGAAATGCTAACCTAAAGAATCAAGTTGAAAAAAATTTTCCTGGCATTTCAGGCCCTTCCTATCTGTGCCCCGCCCTACTTAGTGCTACAGCAGGGATTTTGTCCCTGCAGAAAGCCTCTCCACACACTCTCTTATCACAGTACCATCTCAGTTTAGCTTTTACCTCCTTTGTGATGTTTCCCCAGCCTCCTGTAGTAAGTTTCATCTACGAGCTCCTCTAGCCCTCATTGGCTGAATTAGGCATTTTGGCACCGTTGGATTGTTATCAATCTCATATGTACAATAGTGCTTTTTGTCTCCCCAGCAATTTTGCAGGCTCCTGGATGGTTCAGATTACAGACTCCACTTTTCACATCCTTTTTAACACCTGGCGCAATGTTGGGCTAGGTTAGTGGACCTCAGATGTCTGGTTTGTAATGGAAACTCTGGGTTCACTTTCTGCTAGTCTGAGACTATACTGTAATCCCTGAAATGTCTTTGGAAACTCCATGGATGCTCAGAGGGTCTCAGGTTTTCAGGTGGTTTGAGGGTGCCCTGGACTGGATGGATCATATCCTCTCCTATCTCTGGTTCGTCTCCCTATAGAGCTAAATCTTCAGACGAGACCCAAACTGAACTGGTCTTTGGGAATTGTGGTCGAAATTATGTTCATCCAGTGATTCTCTTCCATTTTGGGCTTCTAGGGTTTGAAGGAAAAACAACAACAACAACAAAAATCAGAAAGCTCATTTTCTGGATAGGAGGAACTCCAATTGACTGCTTTTATAACAGGCTGATTTTGTAACCAGGGGAAGACAGGAGGGAATAGATCAGGATTTTGTTGAACTTTTCCATTTGGCCCCCAACCAGACCACTCCTCTGTCCTCATGTGGGGGCAGCCGTGGATGGACCATGCAGTGGAGTGAGTTAGGAACTCTGGGGTGGTTGTTACGGTTAGTTTTATGAGTGGCCGCTCTTTGTTTAGGGGGAGGGAGTTGCTCTGGAAATGGGGAAGGTATGGCAAAAGGAAAGAAAAAACAAGGAGAGAGGAACTGGGTCTCTTACCTCATAGACCTGGAAAAAAATAGGGATTTGAAGTCAGCATTTTGAAGGGAAAAAAAAGAAGCAACACTTAATCACTCATTTCACACAGCTGGGACCCATCTGTGCTATACAAAGGTTTGGGGGCCAGTCCTACTGCACAAGGGACAGAGGAGCAAGAAGTCTCCTTTTGGGGATCCTCTCCTTACCACAGGCCAACTGAGGAGCTAAAAGTGTTTTAGATCTCCCTATGGAATTTCAGAAAGGTCATCCAAAGTCAGTTTAGGACTATTAGGAGCCAGCTGGGGGGAGGTTGGGGGCTGGGGAGTTTGGGGGTTAACTATCTCTGGACTAGTCAATGGTAATATAATGGTTCCTTTTGAAGTAATATGGAAAGTTCCACAAATACCTCTCCAAAAAAATTGAAGAAACAACCTGCAGGAGCATCTAGAATGAATGGCTTTGTTCAGAAAAATCTTCTCTCCATAGTATAGAAGGGAATGGAGGTGGGGTGGGCAAGCAGTTTGATAGGATGTTCCTTTCTGGATATTTCCTTCTGTTGCCAAATATATCTGACCTAATCAAAGGCATGGAGAGCCCCAGGGAAGTGGGTGTGCACAGGGTTGGAGAGACGGCCTTGGTACAAGTGGGGCGGAATGGGGATAAGAGGAGAGTTTAGCAGACTTTGCTCTGAGCTGATGCCTGGGGCTTCGTATTTGCCCCAAGGCACCATATCTTGGTTAATTCTGGAAGGAACCAATCCCTATGCTGAAGTGGAGGTGACCCACCACGGCTCTACATAGTTCCTTCTCCCTAAACTTGGACCTACCCAGCTCTTTTTTTTCTTCTTTTTTGCATCAGCATCCTTGCTGCTGCCAATGCTGGAATGGCTGGTGATGCTGTTGAGGCTCGAGATGCTGTCCGAGGAGTTCTGTCTCTTGATCCGGAGTTCTAGGGGCCAAGTACAAGTGGGAAGAACACACACAGGGTAGATTTAAAGAAGACATGGGACTTAGGGTAAGTGTAGCTGCAGAAGGTGGAGGAGAAGGGCACCAGCAACTTCTCTGTCCACAGTATTCATTTTTTGGATCGTTCTTTCAACAATTATTGAGGGCCAATCATGTTTTAACATAAAAAAAGCTAATGGTAAAAAATAAGTAAGAAATGATCCCTGTTCTCAAGAAGCTTCCAGTCTAGTAGGATAAACAGCAGTACACAAACTAATGAACTCAGCCTGAATAGGTCTGAGAAGGGCTTAATGAGCACTGGCCCTCGATAACTTGATGGAGACATCAACCTACCATTTTTTTTTTTTTTAAGTAAACTCTACCCCCAGAATGGGGCTCGAACTCACCACCTTGAGATCAAGAGCCGCACACTCCACCAACTGAGCCAGCAAGGCACCCCTCAACCTATCATTTTTCATGATTTTCCCCAGCAATACTTGGCTGCTTGGTGCTCCAAGGCCAAGTATAACTAGCCATGTGTCCTGCATTTAACCTGAATGAGCTTTAGTTGTCTTATCTGACAGGTAGAAAATCTTTTCAGCACTCTGAGGTTTGGAATGGCACAGAAGATGAACCACTTTTCCACCACAGGGAAGAAAAAAAGTTAACCAGGAAGGAGATATTTCAGTCTTGAAAGAACAGAAGTTCTTCAGATGGGAACACTGGAAAACTGTTTGGGCTAAAGAAAAAGTACACGCAAAGGCCCTGTGCAGGCTTTGCTTTGGGGAACCTCAGGCAGACTGGAATGGAAGCAGTACAAGGAGCACAGCAAGAGGTGAGGGTGAGGTTGGAGGTTAGCCTCAGGCCAGATCAGCAGAGCCCTGAATGCCTTTTAAGGAAATCTGCCTTTGTGCCATATAGGTAATGAGCAAGAGCAGCAGAGATTCTGGAGCAAGATTTTCTTTTTTTTTAAGAGAGAGAGAGAATGTGAGAGTCTGCTTGAGATTCTCTCTCTCCCTCTGCCCCTCCCCACCTCTCTCTCTCTCTCTCAAATAAATACATAAATCTTAAAAAACAAACAAAACAGGTCGTGAGCCAGATTTGGCCAATGGGCCATGGCTTGCTAACCCCTAATTCACATTTTCCCCCAGAACATGTATTGCTTCTATGATAAAAATAAATTTAATTAAAAATTAGTTAACTAAAGCTAAAATGAAGGGCAGCAAAATAAGTGTGTGCCCCTATCACCGGTTACTCAGAGGTTTCAAGTAGTTGTGAGTCAATTAAAATTTAAAAAATATGCTATATATTTTTATATATAAATATACATATATATATTTTAGAAGGAAAGGATTTTTAGAATCAAATAACCTTCAGAAAGTTAGGAACTCTTCTGTGTATTTTTAATTTTGTGCCACATACATTTATTACCTTTTCACAAATAAAACAAGGGTAGGTATCATTGCTTTAAGCATTAGCTTGTTGAACGCTCCTAGAAATCCTCCTGACCAAGTTGAGCCTGAGTCAACCTGAACGGAGGAAAACATGCAAACTCATCACAAAAGAGAGAAATGATTTATTCACTTAACAAATACACATCTGAAGAGGAAGGTGCACTTGGAAAGCCCAAAATAGCTTAATATTCCAGATTCATCATTTATGAGGTGTGTTTGACCAAGTGACTTATTTTCTCTGATCTTATTCTCAACCATAAAATATACTTCATAGGGCTGATATCTGGAATAAATGAATCAATACAAGTACAATCCTTGAAAAGTGCCTAGCACATGCCAAGTGCCCAACAAATACATTTTTTACTAGTGCCATAGGTGGGATACAGAGTGCAAGAGGGTGGAAGATGAAGCTAGAAAGAAATGTTTGTCTTGGGAGCAGGAAGAGGATAGTACCCCACACTAATGGGTTTGGAGCATATTCTCTTTCCCTTTTTATTTTATTTTATTTTATTTTTTAAAGATTTTATTTATTTTTTTGACAGAGAGAGACATAGCGAGAGCAGGAACACAAGCAGGGGGAATGGGAGAGGGAGAAGCAGGCTTCCCGCAGAGCAGGGAGCCCGATGCGGGACTCGATCCCAGGA